TGACAGTTACATCAAGGCTCAGATGTGTATATAACAGACTGTTAGCATATGTATAATTCATATACATGAAGAACATTTTGTTCACCAAAAATGTGTGCTGGTAGAGAAAATTTTTAACATACAATATGTTATAAATATAGTATAAAAATTAACATATTTCTTATTTCTTTAGTTAATGCTTATTATTCTTTTGAAAAATATTCTAACCTCAGACAATATTCTACTGAAATTAAAAGTGAATTAACACAAGTATTGTACCCCAAGGAACAGTGTTAACAAGCAAATGTCAATGGTGGTATCTTAGTGCCAATATTTAAGCTAGCTTTAGGCCAGAGACCAGTGAGCAGCCAATCTAATTAATCCCGGCCATAGTTCAAAACCAAAAAAGCTAATCATGAACACTGGAAATATAATAAGATTATGGGCATGAAGTATGCTGTTTAAAGGTATGCATAGCAAATGTAAAACTCTGCTTTTCTCTTCTAGAGTATACTGGTTGTTGAAAAGAAAGGCACTTTTGAAATGAGGGGGAGGAAACAAACATTTCTTCTCAAAACCAACACTGCCATGTCTGTAGTTTCAAGTCATTCGCTCAAGTACCATTCCTCAAAGATATATTCAGTATCTGACACGGCCCAAACCACTTACTCATTGTCTGAGAAACGACTTTTTTGAAATAAAGATAATGGGATCTCTTAACAAGACCAAAAGAAAATCATGCAAAAGACCTAGTCACTTGTAGATTGACATTTCCCAATACTTAATAATTTCCTTTATTTCCTAGGTGGCTAAGAAATATATTGATGTGATATTGTTGAGCATATTTAAAAATCACATCCATATGCTGTGTTAGATCATGAAAAAATTATTCCAGAGAAAATATCACTGAAGAGTAAATTAGAAAGCCATTTACACTTGACTTGCTAATAGTTGAGTGAGTTGAATTATTTAACCTTTTAGTTTTGAGCATGATATGTTGACTTAATATCTGATGAAACACCAGAAGTTGGATCTCAGTATTCAAAACTATGGAACAGAGCCTCTTTATGCTTGTGGTGAATATTAATAGATATAATCAAAAGTTTATACTTAATTTTACTAGGAAATGGAATTAATTAGAACATATTTATCCTAGAGTCAGATATAAACAATATCATCTTTCTTATGAAATAATTGTATTATGTTTTATTATATTTTATCTTTATATTCCAATTGTGATAAACATTTTACTATATCTAAAATTAGAAATTCTAGCCTTGGCTGGCGTAGCTCAGTGGATTGGGCACGGGCTGCGAACCAAAGTGTCGCAGGTTCGATTCCCAGTCAGGGTACATGCCTGGGTTGCAGGCCACAGCCCCCAGCAACCGCACATTGGTGTTTCTCTCTCTCTTTCTCCCTCCCTTCCCCCTCTAAAAATAATAAATAAATAAAATATTTTAAAAGTAAAAAAATAAATAAAATTAGAAATTCTTTTGCATACTAATTATCCATTAAGAGGTCTGCAGGTGCTGGCAGATTGATGTCATGCTTAGGAATATCTTTTTCACAACCCTTGCAAGTTATTTCAATGCTTTTAATATTCAGGAGAGCAAATTTTTTTTTACTTTTATTTTAATCATTGTTCAAGTACAGTTTTCTGCCTTTTACTCCCATTCCAGCCCACCCACCCAACCCTCCCCGCCTCGCTCCCATTACCACCTCCCTGCCCTAGTTTTTGTCCATGTGTCCTTTAAATTTGTTCCTCTAAACCCTTCCCATTCTCCCCTGAAATTCCCTCTTCTCTCCCCTATGGTCACTGTCAGCCTGTCCTCTATTTCAGTGTCTTTGACTATATTTTGCTTGTTTCTTTGTTTTGTTGTTTAGGTTCCCGTCAAAGGTGAGATCATATGGTATTTGTCCTTCACTGCCTGGCTTATTTTGCTTAGCATAATGCTTTCCAGCTCCATCCATGCTGTTGCAAAGGGTAGGAGCTCCTTCTTTCTTTTTGCTGCATAGAATTCCATTGTGTAAATGTACCATAGTTTTTTGATCCATTCATTTACTGATGGGCATCTAGGTTTCTCCCAGCACTTAGCTATTGTAAATTGTGCTGCTATGAACTTTGGGGTGCAAAGGTTCTTTTGTATTGGTGTTTTAGGGTTCTTATGATATAGTCCCAGCAATGGAATTGCTGGATTAAAAGGCAGATCCATTTTTAGTTTTCTGAGGAAGTTCCATACTGCTTTCCATAGTGGTTGTACCAGTCTGCAGTCCCACCAACGGTGCACTAGGGTCCCCTTTTCTCCAACACCTAGGAGAGCAAATTTTATTCCAAAGAAAATAAAGAATCACTTAAGTGTGCCAAAGTCATGTGTGTAGGAGCTTGGAGACATTCAGCGTTTTAAAGTAATAAGAGGAAAAAAAAATTTGATGGTACTCTCAAACCAAAAGCTATTCTCATGTATCACAATAATCAACTTAATATGACTTATGAATCAAACTTTTTTTACAGCATACAGACTACACAGTGAAAAATAGAGTAAATTATGAGCACATAGAAACTTAAAGTTTATAAATCTTTGGCATTTACCTTTTCTTGTCTTCCACATGCATCAAACAAAAATTTAGGCCTGGCTGGTGTGGCTCATTGGATTGAATGCCAGCCTGTGAACCAAAAGGTTGCTGGTTCAATTCTCAGTCAGGCCACATGCCTGGGTTGCAGGCCACATCCCCAGTTGGGGGAAATGGAAAAGGCAACTGGTCAGTGTTTCTCTCCCTCCCTTTCTCCCTCCCTTCACCTCTCTCTAGAAATAAATAAATAAAAACATATATGTTTTAAATTTAGATTTATGTTAATCCCAAATTGATCGGCAAATATTTATGAAGGACATTAATTAAAGGCATATTGTGAGGCACTGTAGGGATGGAAACCATGAGACATGAATCTTTTCCTCAAAGATTTGCATAGTTTTATTTTCGTCTTTCTCATATCCTAAATTCTTTCACATATGTTTCATCTGAAAGAGTACAGCAATCTTAACATATTCTTTTTTGTTTCTCTTTTTTAAAGTATATTTTATTGACTATGCTATTACAGTTTTCCCAATTTCCCCCTTTTTCCCACTCCACCTTGCACCCCCAACCCTCCAGCATTCCCCCACTTAGTTCATGTCCATGGGTTATACATATAAATTCTTTGAATTCTCTGTTTCTTATACCATTCTTAACTTCTCCCTGTCTGTTCCATGGTAGTTGTAAAACAGATTATCTGTAAAGGGACATGTTTTTTTTTTCTTTTTGATCAATTGTGTTCCTTAGCCAAAGCAACCCTAGATTCTTTTACATTGCTGTAGATCCAATCAGTACCTGTTTCATTCAAAATGTAAAGACATCCTAATATTATTCTGCAATAAAAGGAAACAGGACTCTCTCTACAGCTGGGGCAAGAAATACACAGAAGGATCTCATTTGCCAGAAAAAAAGGAAGTATTAAAAAAAGAATGGGGCCCTGGCTAGTGTAGCTCAGTGGATTGAGCATAGGCTGCAAACCAAAGGGTAGCCGGTTCGATTCCCAGTCAGGGCACATGCCTGGGTTGCAGGCCAGGTCCCCAGTGGGGGCTATGTGAGAAGCAACCACACACTGATGTTTCCCTCACTCTCTTTCTCCCTCCCTTCCTCTCTCTCTGAAAATAAACAAATAAAATCTTTAAAAAAATGGGGAGCAATCAAATGAACAAAGGAGAAAACTCAAAGAGTTCCCAATGGCTAATTTGAATAGTGTATAATGGAAAATTTTATCAGCAAAATAAATACTTTAGAATAACCTAATGTATTAAATGAATATCTATGAATACATACTTTTATGAATAAGTGACTAAATAAATAAATGAGAGAAAAAAGATCTGTACAGAAGAATTCCAAATAACTTATATAAATAATCCATCCTCAAAGAGAGGAAGCCTAACTCCCAGATCCTTAAGTGTGAGCTGCAGGTAGTGACTTCCTCCCAATATTGATATGGAGAAAAGTAGGAACTTTATGATTTTGAAACCTGATAAGCACTATCTCACTCAGGAAACATCAATAACAAGTCATAGTGATAGCATGTATCTTTGGTATGATGTGATAAGAACAGTACTTTCTCTCTTTAGTCTTCCTCTCCAAATCCCAGAAACTCAGTATAATCAGGAAAATAATATCAACAATCTAAATTGAAGGATGTTCTACGAAATATTTGGCCAGTACTCCTCAATACTTTCAAGGTCATTCAAAGTAAGAAAAGTCTGAGGAAATTATCACAGCAAGGAATTGCTTAAGGGAACAGACATGGTAACTAAATGTCATATGGTAACTTGGATGGGATCTTGAAGCAGAAAACGTACATTGGATAAGAACTAAGGAAAGGCTAACAAGGTATGAAGTTCAGTGAAGAATAACACATCAGTATTGGTTCAGAAGTTGTTACAAATGAACCATAGTAGTGTAAGATGTTAACGATAGGGGAAATTGTATTAGGAGTATACAAAAATTCTCTGTATTATGTTTGCCACACTCTTGTAAATGTCAGATTATCCTAAAATTATAATTTGATTGAAGAAGTTATATATAAAGGGCTACCTGGAGCTATAATTTAAGGAGATCTATAGAGCATCCCAGAGCAGCTAAAAGAAAAATAAAAAGTGTGTGTGACTATGCATCTGTAGAACTGCTGGGCTGTTCTCTCAGTTTCTTGTGTTGATGCATAATCTACATAGGTCACCATTCTTACAGTCTCTTTTAATGATAAGCTACTGACCTTTTCACTTTTGAATTAGTCCTGCCCTCTCTTGATCACAAAAATTAGGGCAACAATAGTTTTTTAATATTTACAGAACTGGGCTTGACAGTTTCTTTGGGGGAAGTGACTTTGTAGAGAAGGAAAGAGATATTTACAGTCTTAGATGAAAGAAGCAGGATAATCTTAGCAAAAGGGGAGTTGTATTTGATTTTTTGTTCTTTACTCTTTCTTTTATGCACTTTTCCTTTTCCTTTATTGCAATATAAAAGTAGATCTGAATGTTGACAACGAAAAAGAATAGCTTCCAAAGAAAGATATGTGAGGGAATATTTTGGGTAACAGAGCTCAAGCACTCATGTATTTTTTTAACACTCTAATTTTACAAGGAAAGAGATATTTGAAAATAGCACTTTCTAATGTAGAAACAGAGAGCAAAAACTATTAGCACAGATGGTTAGCGACAAGGTTTAGGACACAATTAACAGGTTAAAATTATACCAGTGTAAAGTCTGTCAGCAATGCAAAAGCTGTGGTAGCGGCAGGCAGGACTGAGTTGGCTTCATTAATAAGGCATCCTTTCATTTCCTTTCTGTCAACTTCTTATATCATTCATCACTGTAACACAGAGACATTTTTAAGAGCCTACCAATGAATTCTACAATTGAAGAAAGCCTATCCTTTGTGCAGCATGTGCTATCTGTTTAAAGTAGAAGTCTGTCTTTCAGAAATACTTAACCTTATTTTGATGCGTTCAGGTAAAAGTTCACAAAGTGTCACAATAATTAGACACAATTAAAGCAGAGGTCATACTTTCAGAAAAATTCATCAACCAGTTATTGATTGCCTTCATTGCAGAAAATGCAAATCTCGATTTAATCTCCAGGGTTTTTTTAATTGTCCAGGTGTTAGAAATTAACATTGTATATGCTACAAACAAGACTTTTGCTTCTAAGCTGTTTTTACTGATGAGGATATTCATATTCTTCTATTTTACTGTTCAGATATCTAAGATATGCCATGCATTATGGAACTTAATTTTTTACAGAAAGGCAGTTACATTCAAATGATATATGAAATGTTTTATGTCCTGTGTTGACCTTAGAATTAGGTAATAATTAAAACAAAACACTTTAATTTCTGGATACTAAAAAGAGTTTTTGTAAATAACTTTTTGATAAATCTAGACACATAGATCTTTGTTTTTATTTCTTTGATTATAATCTGAAATATTTCTCAGATTATCCCAAAGTCACTGTCTGTGATGGGTTATTTATAACACAACATGAAGGTGATGATTTAATGATCAGTTTCTTCCAAAATGTGCTTTTTCTTACTGGTTTTTATACTTGAACAATATTTATTCTGATGATGAAATCTAGACACAAGATGGTCTAGTAGATCATTTTCCCAAGATTTGAAAACTACTAGTTCTAAGAGATTTTAAAAAAATTATTCTATGAAAAAGAAAACATTCCATGAACAAATATGTTTCAGAAATTTTGCTTACCAGCCTCTTCCACGTTTCATCTGATCAATATACAAAAGTTCTGGTAAGTCCTGTAGAAATGATGTCTGCCAGAAATATCTTGAAAGCAGTGGGAGTAAGACTGCAGAAGCAAACAGCATCCACATTATGAAGGATCTTTTATGTCTTGCTGAAAAGTTTGAAACTTTTCTTTTAGAATGACCACTTGAGTAGCAATGTAAAGGATCAGTGAGATGCATATTTGGGGAACGTTTTTCAGTAACCAAAAAAACTTAGCAAAAGTAGTTATAGTCATGCTGGAAAGAAGTAGAAAAATTAAAAATATATTAGAAATGAATGACATGATTTAAAGATTTGTTGAATGTTAATGATCAGAATTCAAGAGTTAATCAAGGGTGTGGCTTTGTTGCTTTGTGGATATTGGAGCCCAGGATGAGGAACAAGGATGAGGAACATGAAAGGGAGCATCAGAAATTAGATAGGGTACAATGGAGAATCTGTCTTTATGTATGCTGAGTCTGAAACACCTGTAAAAAGTCAAGATAGAGATTCTCAGGGTATAGTTGGATAGAGAACTATAGGCTTCCAGAAAGAAATTTTTTTAAAAAAGGCTCCAGACAGATACTACTAAATAGGTGGTAAAATCACGGAAATGGTTGGTTGGAGGCACTCAGAGACAATAGTCTGCAATATGCAGAGTAAAGTATTCTACAAATAGGAAGGCATAAGTGAGCAGGATCACAGAACCTAAGTGTAGAGAAAAGATCAAGAAAGGGAGTAATTATCCACACAACAGAATAGGTCAAGAAGGATATATGTATAAAACTATGGTTGGATTTAGTAATAAATCAATTGTTTGTGGCCAGCATAATTTCAAGGAAACAGCAAGGCAAAGCAGGCTAAAAGATTTGGTGGGAAGTGTGGCATGGAGAGAAACAATGTTAACAATTATTTAATTTAGTAGAAAAGAGAGTGACAAGATAGTGAATATGAAAGATGTAAGTAGAGAATATTATTTTGTTCTTCCTTTTTTGGATATTTAAGGAGGGAGAGGTCCAGTGAAGAGGAAAAACCCTGAATATATAGGCAAAAAGATAGTTGGTTGCTTTACATCTTGAAGAAGCAGGAAGGGATTGGATCTGGAGGGACTGATCTTTCTCAGTGACTAAAGGAAAATAATGATGATGAAATACCTGCAGATAACATGGTAAGTTTAAATGAGGAATACTGGTGGATTTCTGCTCTGCTGGATTTTATATTGTTTTTAAAAAGTAGAAGGCATTTTTTTTTCTGCTGAGATGAAAAGTTTAAATCATAGGGGCTATAGGAAAGTTCTGAGGATTAGGAAAAGAGGCACCCTGAGGAACAGATGACTGGCTAGGGACTTTCTCTCAGGCCACTGAGGATCCAGTTGAGTTAGGAACAATGAATTTATAATGACACCATGCCATTTTGTTGTATGATTGTTTGAATGCAGGAAGTGAGAAAACAGATTGACCCAGGGTCAAGGTTTAAAGGAGTTGAGAGTTTTGGTGAGATAAAGTCTAAGTAAGACAATGGGAATAAATATAGGAGGAGGGCAAAGGATTTAGAAGGTTTACAGCTCAAATGAATTGAATAGCACATTCAGTGGAAGCAAAGAAGAGAGACACATGGCAGTATAAGATGTTGAAGGATATTTCAAATGTCAAATGTAAAGACGTAGGTCATGGTAATTGGCAATGAGGATGTTTGTTGAAGGAGGTGTCAGTAACCAGGGGCCATAATATTGGGTGTCTTATCTATGTGGACTCTGTATTGCTGCAGTTCCCTCAATTAGGGCAGGATTAGTGTAACAGGAAAACTGAGTCAGAAATCAAATAACCCAGGGGCCATTGGAAACACACAGGAAGCAGAAAAGTACAATAGGTAGTAAGAGAAAAAAATGTAGTCTACCTGAATAGCCAGAGCATCAAATATATTAAAATATTTTACCCAAAGGTAGAGGATAAAAAGTAAAGGAGAATTGAAAAGTCTCCAAGGCTAGTAAAGCATGGAGGAATGCAGAGCCTTTTGTGAGAGCCAATAAATTAAGAGGAGAACACAGAGGGTTTCAGAAGGCACCAAGGAAAAGCAGGCATTTGTGTCATAAGGTGGGAGGACGAGCTGCAGAGCAGTGGGGGTGTGAAAGGAAGGAGAGGGTGGATTTTCACAGGGGCTTGAATTTTCTGTAGGGATCCGGGGTGGCAGAGAGAAGAAGCTGCATGAATTAATTCTTTCCCAAGTTTTCAGAGACCTCTAGAATTATGTTACAAGCTAAGAACCCAGAAAATCTGAGGAATTTGATGATGATAGAACAGAACTTCTTAGGAGCTGACACACTGATATTCTGCTTCTTCAAATTCTGGCTGTCTTCTCTGAGATTTAGCTGGTTATGACTTGGCTACTTTTCTTTATTACAATTCATACTCTCCCTCTCCCTGTCTGCTAGATACGACTCTCCAAATTCAATTTTAACCCTTTTCCATTTTATATCCCAGGCCTCTGTAGGGATTAATTAGTCCAAACACATCTAAGCAATATATGGATATCTGTGAAAGGGTATTTTAATGGCACTGCCAGGGATAAAGCCAACCACATGTACACATGAGTATTTTGCTCATAAACTTGCCTGTAAAAATCCTATTAAAAATCTGTAATTTCAGAGGTGGAACAGTTTGTAGAATGATGGCAAAGAAAATCAATCCCTTTAAAATTTCCAAGTCCCAAGGCAAGTTTCTAGTTTCTAAATTCATCTGCACAGCTTTTTTTATGTTAACAGTGATACTAAAGGCCAGATTTATATGTGTTTATGGCAGTACTCAAATTATATCATGGAAAAAATAAGACATGATCAAGTTATAAATCAGAGAAGTGACTAGAAAAGGGCTGAGCGATGTCAGTGTCCAATCTAAAGCCTGAATCTGAGAGAGAAAGCTGGCTGCATTTTGCCAAAAATGAACAAAAGACCGAATCCCAGAAGGTCTACAAGGAGGAGAATGATCCGAATCAAGGTGGACTTGGATTAGCAGCTACTTCCAGGTTCCCCATTAATGAACACAGAATGACTAAATGAATCTGATCTTAGATCAGAGGTGTTTGTCTTCTTACTCTCTTTTGTCTTTGTCCAGCTCTCCTCCCCCACACCAAGTAGTTTATTTTCTCTGTATTCAGGTCTATTAAAGGGTAAATATTGCAGATTACCCAGAAAATTTTACAGAAAAGAATAGCTACCAGAAGAACTATGATATGTTATTTTGTTTATGCATCCTCAAAATCTCATTAAAATGCACACACAGACTATGTGCAGGGAATAATATTTACTCATTAGCATTTTCTATCTTGGTAATTGTGCTAATATGGGCTTCTCAATATTGTTATTATTTTCTTCTTAATGTTATTTTTACCAGAGAAAAAGCATAGCTAGAGTAGAGAATATGTAGGATTATCAAGTTTTTAATCATAAATAAACTTAAAATCATAGCAATATATGACTTTTTAAAAATATTTTGTCATAGTTGATATCATATGACCTTCATAAAAGCCCTGTGATATTGACAAAACAAGTATTTTGCCTGCATTTCAGCAAGTGAAAAATTGAATCTTAGTGAAATTTAGGGCCTTTCCATAAATAGCATAGCTAGTCAATGTCATAGGTAGAAATGATGTCAAAACCATTTTAACTCTACACACTCTGTAGATTAAAATGGTCCTTACTATATTGCCTCCAGGCCTAATTCTCTGTGTGTAGTGGGTTTTTTTGTTTGTTTGTAGTTGTGTGACCTTGGAAAAATTACTTAACCTCCTGAAACCTGAGTTCCCTACCTGGAAGATGCAGGCATCAATGTCCTTTACCTCAAGTTTGTTCTGAGGATGAAATGATATACTGAGTGTAACTTCTCAGCTCAATATCAAGGAACACAAATGCTACTTATGCTAATATTTCACCAATAAAATAGGAGAAGAAATTAGAAACGCTGAGGATTCCTTTACAGGCATTCAGTCAATAAACATTCACTGAGCATGTATTATACACCAGGCACTGAGCTAGGTACTGGACAAACAACTTCACAGTCGTAATTCCTTGCCTGCAGTGGTTTCTCACCCAAAGAAGAAATGCACACATGCAAACTAATACTTGCCAAATGTATTTCAAGATCATTAAGATAGAAAGAGTGGAGAAGGGGGCTTTTGTACATCCAGCACAGAGTGGTCAGGAAAGGTCTGCAGGTTTAGGGACTGTTTCCTAAAATGTGGCATTTCCAGAGAGAGAAGAAAGTGAGCAGAGGCAATGAAACAGCAGCTGCTTCAGGGCACTTGGAAAACTAAGCATTTTAGTATGGCTCCAGTTTAAGGATGATAAGGGCCCCAAATGAGATAAAAGCTAATGGTTACACAAGGTGATCATTTCTCAAAAGCTCCCTCTTTCCTTCCTTCCTTCTCCCTTCTCCCTCCCTTTCTTTTTTCTTGCTTTTTAGTACACACCAGTTTCCATGCTCCAGCTTCCCATCATCAGGCACACCATAACCTCTGTACATGTCAGTGCTTAGCACAGGCTAATTACCAGCAGTTATATTAGCAGTATTTGTTCCAGAAGATTATTTCAAATTACAAATATATGAACTTAGCGAGTTGATTGAAATTTCAGATGGGAGAGAGCCAGGTTGTGTGTCTTTCTGAACAAAGAAGGTAAGTGGGAACCATACAATTGTCCTATTAGAAGCTAAGAAGGAACTGTATGGCAAAGGACAGTGACAAGACATCAATGAAATAATGTTAGCAGATGCCCCCTCCCCATGCCTCTCCAACCCCATTTGTTTTGCTTTTGCCACTTGGAGATAGATAAGCCCAGACTTGGTGAGCGAAGAGGTGAGGCTTCTCAGATCCACAGTGAACCATACCTCTTAGTCTGTGTGTTCTTCCTCCCCAGATTGCAACTCCTGATTTCCCCTCTCTCCTTTGGTACTGGGACCTGGACATGTTTTCACAGCACGGGGTCTTCAGCTGCACACACACACACACACACACACACACACACACAATGGAAACCTGCTCATCACTTCATCTGTACTCTGAGGGAAGTTAGTTTCCTAATCTTCTTTCTTCTTTAGTGACTTTTTTACAATTAGTTGAACAAATGATGATATTTGTCTGCAGCTTCCAGTGCAGCTATTCATTTAGGAAAATTGGTTGATCAATGCCAGGCAGGGCTGTTATATCTTTTTCTGCTGAGAGGAGAAAAGATTGATATGTCAGATTGAAAGAACTGGAAAAACCAATTGCTGAATTAGAAGTGATATCATTAAATGCACCCTCCAATAATTGGTTAGAATTGGAAACATTTAAGTCTGTACATAATCAAATACTGTCTGGAAATGTTACAGCATTCTTATTTTATGCTAAATAGATTTTTATGGAAGCACAATAAAGGAGGAAATTTGCTTTCTAATTTGACTAAAACCACAATGGATCTCTGTTATTTCAGCTATTAAAACACCAAATAGGAGCAGGCTGATTAGAAAAGGAAAAGAAGAAATTAATTTCATATTTGAGATCTATTATCAAACACTGCATATTTTTAAGTGAAATTATTCATAACAATTGAAGATGAATTTTAATAATAACTTTCAGAAAAGAATAGATGTATTTCTAGCTCCTATTCAAAATGGGAAGCAATCTAAAGAAATAACAGCACTCTATCATTGGTATTATTGGGAGGAAGGAGGTAGTTTATTAACCGCATAAGCCCATTCACAGAAAATACAAGAAAGATCAAAAGACTTCCACTTGCTCCATTCCAAAAGACAGAACTGTAGACTCACATAACCTAATGACTGCATCCATTCTCTGCTTATACCATTTGTGATTTCTTTATTATGTCATAGCTGTTGGTGAATGCATCCCTTTGCCTTCTTACCCGTTCATCCCTTAAGCAGATATTTACTGAACACCTATTTTGAGGCAGGCAATGTTTCAGGCAGTAGGGACATAGTAGAGCATATAGAAAACAAAATTTCCTACCATAAAGAATCTTGGAATCTATTTGAAAATGGACAATATAAAAAGTAAATAAGTACAATATAAAGTATGTTCAATAATAATAAGTACTAAGGAAGATAAACATGTAGGGAAATACGAACTGTGGGAATGGGTTTTAGACATTATCAAGCTTGCTTTACCTCTCTTATTATTTCATAATGAAATATAAAATATCATACAAGCAAATGCCTCTCTTCCAGAAATTAAATAGAGAACAAAGAATTAACAGGCCAAAGAGTAACAATCAGTACTTATGCAATTACCTTCTCACATGGGAGGTAATGCCACTCTCCCTTTTTTTATTTCTTATCTAATATGAGAATATCACAATCCTTTCTGCCAGCTTGTATATGAACCTATTATCCTCACCTTTATACTAAAGCAAAATAAAAAGTTAAGCAACTATGGGATATAGAAATACTAAAGGTATTGGTGTATTTTCTGGGAAAAACTAAATTTCAGAAAGTATATAATTATAGATTTTAAACCTAAAGACAGATGTAAGCCTTCCTTGTATATCTAAAAGTAATGGGAACATTTGTGCCCAGAGTGAAGATTTCCTTGTTCTCCTTCGTTTTTTAATTGAAATGATGAAGACCCCAGGGGTGCTCAAACAATCATCTCACCCAAAGTGCCCACTAGAGCATCATTTGATGGCTAGCCCTGGTGAATGCAGACTTGCATAACTAATCTGCAAGAACTTTTTGAAGATATCACAACCATGCTAGATGAGAGGTATTCATGAGCTGGACTGTAGTTAATATTTTAGGGGAAAAAAGTACATTTTATATGGTTTTACATCAGAGATAAAGGTAAAAGAATCACTGAAAGTGGATAAAGAGACCCAAAAGGAAAATTAGTTTTAGAGACAACTACAAAGAAAAGCCTTCAAAAGAAACATTTGTGTTGGGAGGAAGGTGTTGAATCAAGGCAGTGTGTGTACAATTAATTGAAGGCCAGTCCTTCAATAAAAACCATTTTTAACTTACCACATGCTTCACAAAGCTGATAGCTAGGATTCTAACTGCTTACTGTAGCAGACTAATCAATCACTACATTAAAAATGTGAAAATGTAGGTTCTAGTGACAGTAAATTACTAAATGACATTGGGCAATTAGTTTACCACTCTAGGTCTCAGATTCTTCCTAGATAATGAGACATGAGGGCTAGAGAGATCACTAAGGCCCTCTGTGCCTGAAATAATCTTATGCTAAGAGCTCCAGAGCTCTCTGGAGAGTTTGGAGGATAGAATGCAGTCCACAACCATCACCAAAAATTAAACAAGCAAAACATGAATAAATATTCATCAAACAAGTCCCATCGTGGAGGTGGATAATGTGTCAATGTTCAGTGCATCAAAAACAAACTTTCACTACTGGCTTTTGCAATTGTTACTGTTTTGCGTTTAATAAAAATTACATGGCATGCTTGGGGGATGTGATCAGAAGGCTGTTGTTCCCGGGTGCTTGAATACTTCATTGACCCTATGAGAACAGTGAAATATTCCAAAGCCTGGAGTGGCCTTGGGGAAGTTCAGGTTATAACAATTTAATATTGCCCAAGATACATATTGATCTAGGTATATATATATATATTTTAAATCTATTTTATTGATTATGCTATTACAGTTGTCCCATTTCCCCCTTCACTCCCCTCCACCCTGCATACCTTCTCCCACCCACATTCCCGCCCCCGCCCCCCCCGCTTTAGTTCATGTCCATGTGTCATACTTACAAGTTCTTTGGCTTCTACATTTCCCATACTATTCTTACCCTATCCCTGTGCATTTTATACCTACCATCTATGCTGCTTACCCTTTGTACCTTTTCCCCTCGCTCCTCTCCCACTCCCGTCTTGATAACCCTCCATGTGATCTCCATTTCTGTGGTTCTGTTCCTGTTCTAGTTGTTTGCTTAGTTTCCTTTTGTTTTTGTTTTAGGTGTGGTTGTTAATAATTGTGAGTTTGCTGTCATTTTACTGTACATGTTTTTCATCTGAGTTTGCTTTTTCTTAGATAAGTCCCTTTAACATTTCATATAATAAGGGCTTGGTGATGATGAACTCTTTTAACTTGACCTTATCGGGGAAGCACTTTATCTGCCCTTCCATTCTAAATGAAAGCTTTGCTGGAAAGAGCAATCTTGGATGTAGGTCCTTGCCTTTCATGACTTGGAATACTTCTTTCCAGCCCCTTCTTGCCTGTAAGATCTCTTTTGAGAAATCAGCTGACAATCTGATGGGAACACCTTTGTAAGTAACTGTCTTCTTTTCTCTTGCTGCTTCTAAGATTCTCCTTATTTTTAATCTTAGATAATATAATTTTGATGTGCCTTGGTGTGTGCTTCCTTGGGTCCAACTTCTTTGGAACTCTCTGAGCTTCCTGGACTTCCTAGAAGTCTATTTCCTTTGCCAGACTGGGGAAGTTCTCCTTTATTATTTGTTCAAATAACTTTTCCACTTGTTGCTTTTCCTCTTCTCCTTCTGGTACCCCTATAATTCAGATGTTGGAACGTTTAAAGATGTCCTGGAGGTTCCTAAGCCTCTCCTCATTTTTTTGAATTCTTGTTTCTTCATTCTTTTCTGTTTGGTTGTTTCTTTCTTCCTTCTGGTCCACTCCATTGATTTGAATCCCAGTTTCCTTCCCATCACTATTGGTTCCCTGTACATTTTCCTTTATTTCACTTAGGGTGGCCTTCATTTTTTTCATCTAATTTGCGACCAAATTCCACCAATTCCGTGAGAACCCTGATTACCAGTGTTTCGAACTGTGCATCTGATAGGTTGGCTATCTTTTCATTTCTTAGTTGTATTTTTTCCAGAGCTTTGATCTGTTCTTTCATTTGGGCCATTTTTTTTTTTTTTTTTTTTGTCTTGTCGCTCCTGTTACATATGAGGTACGGAGCCTTAGGTGTTCACCAGGGTGGGACAACCCAGTTGCTGGGTTGTGATGCTGTATGTGGGGCAGGAGTCCGAGAGGGAGGAACAATGGCGCTTGCTCCTCTCCCTGCCAGATTCCAGTCACTTCCCCAGCTTCCCACAAGCCAACTGGGCCCTTCTGGTGCTGGTTCCCAGATGGGTAGATCTCTCCAATGAACTCTCCTATGAGGCTGGGAGTTTCTCCCATCACCTCAACCCCCACATATGTTTTCAATTGGTATTTTGAAGTTTTATTCCCCCATACTGGAGCCCTGGGTTGTGCAGTCTGTCTCACTCCCCAATTTCACCTGGTTTATCTATTTCTCCTGGTTTGTCTACGTGCGAATGTGAGATCCCCACTGCCTTGCAAACCACGCTGTGCTCCACAGTCCCCTGCCTCGCTGGGTCTGCCAGCCTCCACACTGCGCACCTGGGGCCCTCCAGCCACCGCTTTGCCGCAAGTCCTCCCCTCCTTGGTTGCCCGACTCCACCCCTCCTACCGATATGGATGAATATGTCTTCTTTAACTCCTTGATTGTTGGACTTCCATACAGTTCCATTTTCCGTCAGTACTGGCTGTTTTTTGTTTTTAAATTGTTGTTGCCCTTCTTTTGGTTTTACAAGAGGCACAGTGTGTCTACCTATACCTCCATCTTGGCCAGAAGTCCTAGGTATATATTTTGTAATAGGGTTGACACATTAAAATAAAAATTAAATAATGACTCTTATGGTGGTATAAGTAAAAGAAAATTTAAACAAATTCAATATCTTTTCTGACTGTATACATGCCCACAAATGCTGAAAAAATGTTCTACTGCTCTTAAATGACTATGGCTTAAAACTTGTGCTGTTTGATTTTTGAACTACTTAAGCAAATAGACCACTTTCATTATATAATTCCCTACTATCATTTTACACAGTGTCCTCCATGCATTTTTGCTAAATTGAATTTAATTTTTCTACCATCACCAGAGTTCATTTGTTTTAATGAAGAACATGATTACTAACTTAAATGATATGCATCTGAATTTACAACAGACAAAATGCCTGTATTGGAAACCAAAATAGAATAGAATAGAAGTATTGACTTAAAATTTATTCCCTCCCATCTTATAACCCAAAATGAGCCAATATTTAAAAAATGTTTTCTGTCTTTCCATTCTAAATTATAGCTTTGCTGGATAGAGTAATCTTGGATAAAGGGTAGATAAAGTGTTTCCCAGATAAGGTCAAGTTAAAGGAGTTTATCATCACCAA